AGGCCGGGCAGGAGGCCGGGGAGGTCCCCGGTGGGCACTGCCCCCCGGGCCCGCTGCTGGGGAGGAAGGGAAGAAGGCTCTGGTTGGGCATGGGGCCTGGCCATCTCCTTACCTCGCAGGAAGTTAAGCTCTGTCAGCAGCTTCATCTCACGTCCCACGTCGAGTTGGCAATGGCGGAAGGAGGAGCTGGCAGCTGGCCGGAACGTCTGGAGGGCTTCAGTAGCTCGGGCAATCCTGGGATGGGGGCAAGAAAAGGTCAGGCACTGCCATCTGGGCAGCCACCCTTCCCCTCAATTCTCTTGCCTGCCCCTAGAGCCTTGGGAACTGCTTTGAGAGCTGGTATCAGTTTGGCCTCATGAAAATCCTCAGAACCCCAGTTCTCCACCTGGAAGTACTGTAGACATTGTCCTAGATGTTGGTCACACCCATGATGTCCCTGCCCCCCTAGGATCCCATGCCCCTGAGTACCTGTTGTGCAGCTGCTTGGCGGCTTGCACAAAGCAAGGCTGGTCTGTTTCCTTAAGTACTTCCTGGGCATAGCCCACCAGACCTGAGCCATCCAGTAGGCTCCGGTGCTCCTGAATCTGGGCGCTGAGACGGGCCAGCCGCTCCTGCTGGCATTCTTCAATGGCCTGAAGCAGTGATGCCCGCTTCTCCTCCAGCACAGCCCCCAGCCCCCGCACCAGCTGTGACACCTCCTCCTTGGCCTGCTGACCACTCACCTGCCCAGGGAGCAACACCCAAAGGATGCATGACTTACTATCTTCTTTTTGGAGGCAGCACTTGTGCTGGCCTCTTTGGACACCACAGCATGGCTAAGGTTACAAGGGATCTGGGGAAATCCTGCTCACCCATTCCTACAGGGCCTGGGCTCATGGTTGCAAAGGGACCTCTAGATGGACTCAACTCCAGGTCATTTATGCCAACCTTCCTGGATCCCCACATCATAATCCCTGCCCCTTAGTGACTCATCCAAATGAACAAGACCATGCCTACCCTAATGTCCACTTTGACTGCACTAATTAATGTCCACTGGCATCTATGCCATCCTTAGTTGTCCATCCTCATATCAGCCAGCTCAATCAACCTGGCAGAAGGTATCAGTCATCACCTCACTCTAGTACTGGGGATGTGTGCCATCTTTGGTAGGCACTTGAGCCTGAGAGCATCTGAGCTATGCATAGGGTTTTTTGAGCGACGTGTGTGGGGTTTTTCGAGCTCTCTCCTGAGCTATAGCCACCCTGCTCCCCCTGCAGCCCAGGTACAGCCTGGCCTGGGGCACTGGTGTTCCTGCAAACCTGGTTTAACCAGAACCTGGACACCTCACGGGCTTCCTGAGCTAGCAACGAGATGATTGGGTCATGACCACCCACACCCCCTTCCTGCCCCTACTCCCAGGCAGGGCCCAGGGCCCACCTCCGTGCCCTCCCTCACCTCGGTGTGCCTCACGGCCTCCTCCAGCTCACAGATCTGGGTCTGTACCGTGTCCTGGTTTCCCAGGATGTATGTCAGGCTCTTTGTCAGCTTGTCCTGAGGGGGAAGAAAGAGGTGGGCATCATGCCCAGCTCTGCAGAAGCCAGCAGTTGGGAGGAAGTGCAAGAGAGTGTGAGTTAGCACTAGGGTTGGATAAGGGGGGTCCTTACCTTGAGGGCCTGGTAGGCACTGAGCACTGGTGTGATCTTGTGCCCGCTGTGGGTGCGCCGCACCCGGCAGAGTTGACATACCAGTCGTTGGCATGTCTTGCAGTAGTGGGTCACCTCTTCCTTGTGGTCTGGGCACATAAGACCCTAGGGACACAAAGAACAATGTGATGGTCAGACAATGGTGTGGGTAAGGGTACTATGCTACCACTACAGCAGTTTGGTGCCCTCCCTCCACTGGCAAGATGGGAGTGGAGACACCCAGACACCCGCTGGTGGTGCTCCACAGTGCCACCTGGTGGTACATACTGGCATCAAAGAGAGCCTTTCCTGCAGTTTCCGGGCGGTGCCCATTTCACCAGCATTGCACCTCCTTTCATCTCTCTCATTGGGATATGTGGTAGTAACAGTAATAATGATGCCAATTAATCTTAGCCTGATAGTTAATAATTAACCTTGTCCATCTTGTTTACTGCTGTATCTCCAACACCTAGAATAGCCCCGTGCACATAGGTGCTCATTAAATATTTGTTCAGTGAGTGAATGCACACAGAACTTTTCAGTGTGCAGATAGTGAACAAACATTATCTCACACCCTCCTCTCAGCAACCCTTTAGGTATGGACATTGCAGGGCAGATACTACAATCCCCCTGTAGTAAATGAGATGGAGGCCCGAAGTTGTTGAATGATTTGTCCAGTGACTTTGTTACAGATAACAGAGGTAAGTGCTTAGCATTGAAAAACCCTTCCCACTTCCTTTTGGAAACCCACAATGCCAGGCACCCCCACCCACCTGCAGCAGCATGTCCCTCCCTCCCCAGGGCTTGGAAGGGCTGGCTCACCTTGGGGCGGAAGGAGAGGGTGGGCAGGGTGGGCTCATGCTGGGCCTTCTGGGTGCCCCAGGGGTGGAAGAGCTTGAAGCACTCATTGCAGAAGGTGGCGCGGCACTCTGTGCAGCCCTTGGTGGCCTCTAGTGGTGGCGGCTTGCACAACTGGCACAGGATGGCGCCTCCCACACTCACACTCTGGCGGTACCGCTCCACCACACGTTCCAGGGTCAGGTTCCGGAAAAGCCCTGCCAGACCCCGCTCCCCAAGCTCCACATCACCTTGGCATGCTGGACACGGGAACATGATCACCTGGGGGTGCAAAGCACCTCGCTTCCTCCCAGGGTATGTCCCAAAGCCTGTGGGTGAACCAGGGAGGTAGAGGACGTGAGAGTTACAGCTGGCTGGATGTGGGGAAGCCTGTTCAATTAAATTAGATTTTCATTGTGCCAGAGCTCAGCTCTCATTAGAGCCTGCGTAAGCAGTATCTCCACCCCCTAGAAAGACAGACAGATGCCCCTGACCAGTGATGGACTTCTTCCATCTTCCTGATGAATAGCTCAGCGTTCCCATCCCCACCCTACAGGCCCCAGTCCCACCTGACTTAAGCAGTCGGTCCAGGCGGTCTGGCTTGGGGAGAGTTCTGCGGGAGAGGCGGGGGCTGCGGGTGGAAGGGGTGGAGGCAGGAGAGGTGGGCTCAGAGCTGGGGTCCCCACCATGTCCTATGTAGCCCTGCTGGCCCAAGACCTCCCGAGCACAGGCCTGGCACACGTTGTGGGTACAGGGCAGCACCAGTGGCTGCTTGTACATCTCTTGACACACTGGGCACAGCAGTTCCTTCTCCATGTTCTTCATGCTGGTCTGTGGAGGGACCAGGAGGCTAGGTCAGCGCTTGGACACCTAGGCATACCTCAGCAGCCCCTTGGCTGCCCTTGGATACCCTAGGGGTCTGAGGAAGGAGCAAGACAAGCTATCTGTAGCTTTTCCCCAGCACCTGCCTTGGGCTGGTTCACAGACCTTCCCAGACCTCTGTCCCTTGCTTCTTTCCCTGCGGCAGAGCTAAAGGCCCAGAGGAGGGACGGTTGAAGCTTGTGCCTGCTCCAGCCTCAAGCCCAATCCCCATTTCTCCAGCTGCAGCAGCCCCAGCTGGCAGCCCCCTCACCTGCCTCCATCCCCCATCTGTGGGCAGCTTGCCCCTGGCATTTTTCTCAAGGACACCGCCCATTCTGCAGCTCCATGCAGACCCCCACTCCCTTCTCTAGCAGCACCCCCATGCCGTGATTCCCGATAGTCAGGCGAAGCTGGCACTCCATCCTGCTCGCTCCATACGTCCTCCTGCCGCGGCTCCGGCCTGCGGCCACTCCAGCCTCCATTCCCCATCCTTCACTTCCCCATCGTTCTCCTCCAATCCCTCTTACCAACCCATTCCCCTTCGCTCCCATCAGGCCCTCCCGCCCTCTCCTGCAGCGCAACCCGGTCAGCGGCACCCCCTTCTCCGAGCTAGTGGGAGAATCAAGAGCCCCGCCTACTCGCCCCCTCCCCACCGGAAGTCCCCTCCCCCTCTTGGTGGCGAGAGTGGGGGTCCTCAGGCTATGCCCCACCCCCACACCTCACCTTGGTCCCTCTCTTCGCAGCCATCCCGGTCAGGGGCGCAGCTGACACAAAGGAGGGAGGGACAAGGAGGGGTGGAGGAAGTGGTGGGGGGGAACACGGTTGGCACCGCCCCTGGGAGAGCCGGGCAAGGGTTGCCATGACAACCGCAGGCTCGGAAGCAGCCCTGAGTGGGGGTGCGTGGGGTGGGGTCTTGGGGAGGGGTCCAAATTGGGAACTGCACTGTGGGGCGGCTCCTACATCATCCCCCACCTGTCCTCAGTTTTCTTGGAAAATATCCAAGCTCACACTTCCCCTCCTCATAACAGCGCCTTTCCCCTGAAGCCCCAGCCCCGGTGCACTGCTGGAGGCCACCCCAGCCCACCCGCTGCGTCTGGGCTGCTCCTAGCTCCTCCTCACGCCCCAGCACACCGACGCCTTCAAGGCACTCACCTCCGGGCTGCTCCCGGGATTACCCTCTCATACCTGCATCCCGACCCTCCCAGCCGTTTCTGCCATCGCTAGTCCCCTGTCTACATCCCAGCATCTTCCTGGATCCCCACCTGTTCCAGGTCCCAGCTTGCCACAGAACCCTATACGCCCCCTCCCCTTCCCTCGACCCCACCTTAACTCACACTGATGCGGACCAGTGCGTCCATGATGGAAGTGAAGGTCTGCATATCCTCACCCTCTGCCATGGCCCTACCGTGCCCGCCCGCCCCTGGGTGCCCGATCCCGGCTGCGGCTGCGAACCCTGGGCTTAATGCAGGAGCCCAGTGGGGGTGTGAGGAGGGCTGGGGGGTGAGGTGTCACTGCGCATGCTCCAGGGACCAGCCTCGAACAGCGCCCGTCGGGGTAGGGGGTGGGAAATAGTTCTCCCCACGTGGTTCTCGAAAGCCGGTCGGGGGGTTGGGGAATATGGAAAGGTATTTGAGGGGGGAGCCATTTCTTATATTCTCGTTTTTCATTGGCTCCTAATTTTACTCATATAAAGCGGGGGATTAGTTTCGGAGGAAAATGGGTTCCTGATTGAGAGCACTAAATTTTGGGTTGAGAGATGTTGAGGCAATGGTCATGGGGCAGGGAGGTTTGAGGAACGTGCACTAGAGATGACAGAAATGGCAAAGAAGACAGAGATGGGATAGATGCCACAGGCACGGGCCCAATGACTTAAAGAGATAAGTGCAGCTTGTACAGAGTGGCAGCAGACGCACCAGGTATGAGGAAAGCCTGGGGACCAGGGCGGTGGCCGAGGATGCCCCCTCGACGCATTATTTCCTCCCTGTCGCAAGAGGGCGCTGCGTCCAGGCACTGAGAGGACGAAAGAGGAGAACGCGGGGAGCAGCAAGTCCGCGTTAAGCGCTAACGCATGCGCATAGCTAACCGCACCCGCCTCAGCTTCCCTTTCTTAGCCAGAGGCGCCGGTTGGACTCACGGGAGGGGCATGATGGGTAACGGGACTGGTGGGGTCCCCAGGAAGTGCTAGAGGGGGTCGGGGTTTGGGTGGAAAAGCTTTCCTTGTCCTCTCCTGGCAGAGCTGACGTGTCCTGGGTTCCACCGGGAGCGGGCATTTCCACTGGACGGGAGGGTTCGGGGTGTCCGGGGCTGGGGAATACCTAGGGGTTGCCGCGCGGTGTGGGGAGTTGGGGCATGTGGCTGCAGTCCCGGGAGTTCTTGGAGGGGTCGGCCCACCGAGCTTCTGGACCGGCCGATCTGCCCGTAGCTTGCCGGAGGGAGGGCGGAGCCTGACTCTCCGTCCCTTCTCCCATCCCCTCTAGTGGTAGGTACAGGCACCTCGCTGGCGCTTTCCTCCCTCCTGTCCCTGCTGCTCTTCGCTGGGATGCAGATGTACAGCCGTCAGCTGGCCTCCACCGAGTGGCTCACCATCCAGGGCGGCCTGCTTGGCTCGGGTCTCTTCGTGTTCTCGCTCACTGTATCCTCCCTGCGGTTGGAGGGGGCGGGCCACGTAGGCATGTGCCCTTCCCCTTCCCCACACAGCTCTGCCCCAGTTGCACGCCCTACTCCTTAACTCCCTCAACCAGGCCTTCAATAATCTGGAGAATCTTGTTTTTGGCAAAGGATTCCAAGCAAAGATCTTCCCTGAGAGTAAGTGAATATTGGAGCTTGAGTGTTTGAACTTTCTCCTCTTTTTTTTTTTTTTTTTTGAGACGGAGTCTTGCTCTGTCGCCCAGGCTGGAGTGCAGTGGCCGGATCTCAGCTCACCGCAAGCTCCGCCTCCCGGGTTCAAGGCATTCTCCTGCCTCAGCTTCCCGAGTAGCTGGGACTACAGGCGCCCGCCACCTCGCCCGGCTAGTTTTTTGTATTTTTTAGTAGAGACGGGGTTTCACCGTGTTAGGCAGGATGGTCTCGATCTCCTGACGTTGTGATCCACCCGTCTCGGCCTCCCAAAGTGCTGGGATTACAGGCTTGAGCTACCGCGCCCGGCAAACTTTCTCCTCTTTAACCTCCTGAAACATGATATTGAATTTCCAGATGCTTAGGTGTTAAAGGTTGTTAAGGAGAAATAGATTTACTAAAGCTGTCTGAAAACAGATGACGCTTTTCGATTCTGCATCTTGTATAGCTCCTGGAGTTGGAGCTGGAAGAGAAAGCCTTTGAAAGCAAGAAACTTTGGTACCTTCTGGCCAGCTCCCAGGGAAGGTTTGAGGGGAATAGGCAAATTTCGGCTGATGTTTTGCATCTATTCGCTGGGAGGTGGTCCTTGGTCCCACCAGAAGCAGCAGCAGGACCAAATTCACTGTGGAGTTCTGATGTGAAATTGACTCAGTATTAGAGAATTCTACTTATTCGAGGAGATTGTGAAGAGCCTAAATATTAGAGGCACCAAATTTCCACGGCAGCAGGAATCCTGACCAAATCAGAATAACTGTTAGATTATTTCCTGTTTGGAATAATTCTTGTTCAATTGCTCATGTAATCAAGAATTGATTCAGTTATTTGGCCGGGCGCGGTGGCTCAAGCCTGTAATCCCAGCGCTTTGGGAGGCCAAGACGGGCGGATCACGAGGTCAGGAGATCGAGACCATCCTGGCTAACATAGTGAAACCCCGTCTCTACTAAAAAAATACAAAAAAACTAGCCGGGCGAGGTGGCAGGCGCCTGTAGTCCCAGCTACTCTAGAGGCTGAGGCAGGAGAATGGCGTGAACCGGGGAGGCGGAGCTTGCAGTGAGCCAAGATCCCGCCACTGCACCCCAGCCTGGGCGACAGAGCAAGGCTCCGTCTCAAAAAAAAAAAAAAAAAAAAGAATTGATTCAGTTATTTATGGAGAATTAAGTTTATAAAGCAAATTAAGCATCACGACCAGATTACTTAAGGAATGCCACGTGCTCATAAATTCACAGCAGATGCAATCTCATGTAAAACCTTCATCTGGCAAAACAAAGATCTATCACAGTTGCCCTTAATCTTTTCTTTTTTTTGAGACAAGGTTTTACTCTGTCACCCAGGCTGGAGTGCAGTGATGTGATCATGGCTCACTGCAGTCTTGACCTGGACTCAAGCAATCTTCCCACCTCAGTCTTACCTCTTACCAGTAGCTGGGACTACCAGTGAGTGAGTGCCACCATACCCAGCTACTGTTTTAAGTTTTTGTAGAGATGGGTTTCACCATATTGCCCAGGCTGGTCTCGAACTCCTGGGCTCAAGTGATCCTCCTGTTTCAGCCTCCCAGAGTGCTGGAATTACAGGTGTGAGCCACTGGGCCTGGCTGCCCTCATTTCTTTGCCCCACTCTAGGACTTGCTTTCTCCGCATAGCCCTTTCGCAGGCTTCAGAGTTCCTTCCATCCAGTAGCCCTGGGACTTCTCTCTGTTAGATTTTGTTTCTTTCCATATGTATTATCTTCACTTGCTTCTTTTTTTTTTTTTTTTTTTTTGAGATGGAGTCTCGCTCTGTCACCTATGCTAGAGTACAGTGGTGTGAACTCAGCTCACTGCAGCCTTTGCCTCCTGGGTTCAAGCGATTCTCCCGCCTCAGCCTGCCGAGTAGCTGGGATTACAGGCATGCGCCACCATACCTGGCTAATTTTTGTATTTTTGATAGAGACAGGGTTTCACCATGTTGGTCAGACTGGTCTTGAACTCCTGACAACAGGTGATCCACCCACCTCGGCCTCCCAAAGTGCTGGGATTACAGGTGTGAGCCACCGTGCCCGGCTTTTCAGTTGCTTCTGAAAGAAACCGTTGGCTGGGTGGGATGACACGTGCCTGTAATCCTAGCACTTTGGGAGGTGGAGGCTGGCAGAAGTGCTTGGGCCCAGGAATTCAAGACCAGCCTGGGCAACAGAGGGAGACCCTGTCTCTACAAAAAGTACAAAAATTAGCTGGGCATGGTGGTGCGCACCTATAGTCCCAGGTACTTGGGAAGCTGAGGTGGGAGGATCGCTTGAGCCCAGGAGGTCAAGGCTGCAGTGAGCTGAAACTGCACCACTGCACTCCAACCTGGGCGAGAGAGTGAGATTCTGCCTCAAAAATTAAAAAAAAAAAGAAAAAGATGCCATTGTGGTGGGGCAAAGCTCTTGGCCCACTTCGCCTTCTCTGCCCTCTCCACTTGGGCAGGTGCAGCCCTGTGTGTCCTTGCTTTTGTCCTCTCATCTTCTCTCCCATCATATTCCAGGTAACCTAAAATCATTTCCTGCCCCCATGAACAAGTGAATCCAAGCACTCTGCCCTCCAACCTGTGTCCAGGGAGCAAGGCCCTCAACTTCCACCACCGGTCACCCAGCTTAATGAATTGATTCTCATTGGCTTCTGTCGGAAAGGGCTTAACTGGGTTCCCCAAATGGGAACACATCTTGCCCTTCAGACTCTGTTGTCCATCACCTTTCCTTTTCCCTTTTATGGGAGGAAAGCCAGGATAGGGAAGTTACATGAGATTTGGGGCAGAGCTGATTAAAAAAAAAAAGCATACATCTACATCCATGTTTTTTTTTTTTTTTCTTTGAGACAGGGTCTCACTCTGTTGCTCAGGCTGGAGTGCAGTGGTGCAATCATAGCTCACTGCAGCTTTGAACTTCCTGGCTCAAGGGTTCCTCCCACCTCGGCCTCCTGAGTAGCTGGGACTACAGGCATGTGTACCAGTGTACTACCATGCCTGGCTAATTTTTTTTTAATTCAATTTTTTTTTTTTTTTTAAGAGATGGGTCTCACTTTGTTGTTCAGGCTGGTCTCAAACTCCTGGCTCAAGTGATCTGCCCACCTCAGCCTCCCAAAGTGTTGAGATTCTAGGTGTGAGTCACCGCACTCAACCTCCTACCTCCATGTTCTGGATATCATTAAGGTCATCTGAATCCTCCTGCTGTTGTCATGCATACCCTTCTAAGCAGGTTCCCCAGGATTCAGAGAGACCCGGATTTCTCCTGGACTCCATGTGCGGATGCGTAATATTTCCATTCTGACCGTTGCCCTCCTTGTTTCTTCTTGCCTCCCTAGTTCTCCTGTGCCTCCTGTTGGCTCTCTTTGCATCTGGTCTCATCCACCGAGTCTGTGTCACCACCTGGTATGTTCCTGACAGCTGGGTAAGGGGTGTAGCATTCTGTTCTTTGGCACTGGATCCTACTCTGATGGTGCCAGACTTTTTCCTTCCACAGCTACCTTTCCCTCTGTTCTCCCTCTTTTGTCCTTCCCCATTTTCCTAAACTTGAACTTGGATTCTTTTCCTGATGCTAGTATCTTCCCTAGAAGGCACCGGGCTGGCAGCATGCTCACTGGTGCCATGACCTTTCTGTCTTCACCATATAGCTTCATCTTCTCCATGGTTGGTCTGTACTACATCAACAAGATCTCCTCCACCCTGTACCAGGCAGCAGCTCCAGTCCTCACACCAGCCAAGGTCACAGGCAAGAGCAAGAAGAGAAATTGACCCTGAATGTTCAATAAAGTAGATTCTTTGTAGCTCTGTGAGTTGTGATATGTTGTGGACCTCATCTACCAGTGCCCAGCTTAGGTGTACAGAATGTTGAGACATTTGGGCACCTTCTGTTTTCAGACCTTGGGAATGGTGAGGCTTTCCTTACTCCCACATTCATTTTTACCAATTATCTGTGGAATACCGTCAGTGCTGCTGGAGTGGCATACACTTGTGTGAGTCTCATCATGGAAGAAAAGTGCATGAATGTTCTGCAGTCGTGATCTTTGGGGAAAGGGATAAAGGCTGCAAGGCAGGAAGGCCGGCCCGTCAGTACCAGAAGGGATCTTGGAGCAAAAAAGTAAAGGAAGGAAAGGTCCTGTACACCTATACTGTTTCATGGGATTCCACGTGGTATCTTTGCCACTCCAGCTCCCTGCCTTGAGCAAATGAGCCCCCTGCTGCAAGTGCATAGATGGGACCTCTCTCCTGATGCTGTCCCTGGGACCTATCTGTTCTGCTCCAGAAAGAACATATGCCTGTGTTTAGAAAGACTCCCCAGGTGGTCAGCTGCTCCTTGCCTGTTTATTCTGGTGCCTTCATTTTTTTCTCCGTCTTGTAGCCAAGACACTGGGAACTTCCTAAGTTGTAGCGAAGTATATAAAACAATAGGAGCAAGGACATCAACTTCCGAGCCAACCTTGATACAAATGCAGGTGGCTACTTGCACCCTGCCCTGTCTGTGCTCTGTCATGAGGAACAACTCTGTGCAGAGTGCCTGTCCTAGGTGCCCTCCCTTGTGCTGAATGGTGTGGGTTTTAAGGTACACACCTTGTCTTGGTCAGTTTTGTCTTTTCCAGAGCCTGATAATGGACAATAAAGACAGTGGGTTGGGCCAGCCGCGGTGGCTCAAGCCAGAAATCCCAGCACTTTGGGAGGCCGAGGTGGGTGGATCACTTGAGGTCAGGAGTTTGAGACTAACCTGGCCAACATGGGGAACCCCATCTCTACGAAAAATACAAAAATTAGCCAGGTGTGGTGTTGTGTGCCTATAGTCCCAGCTACTTGGGAGGCTGAGGCACCATCTGCGCTTGAACCCAGGAGGTAGAGGTTGCAGTGGGTGGAGATTGTGCCACTGCACTGCAGCCTGAATGTGAGACTCTGTCTCAAAAAAAAAAAGGTGGGTTGGTTGAATGAAATAACCTGTCCTGACAAACAAAATCCTGTCCATAGGTGCCTGAGTTAGGGAATAAGACCCAGTGAAGGTGAAGAAGTGAGTAGATGAGTTTTGGTCAAGGATTAGAGGCCACCCCACCCCACTCCCATCTTTGGTCAGAACCCTAGATACTTGCCCTTCTGTAACCTGGCCAAGCAGGAAGTGCTAGGCAGTTTATCCAAGACGCCTGCAGGGGGCGCTATGGAATCACGTCTTCCTCCTGGAGGCTAGCGGCACCCTCCCAGACAAGCTAACCCTGAGGGCCGGGAGTGGCATTAGTTGCTGCTGGGTCTGTCAGTGTGGAAGCCAGCCTTCTTGAAAGACTCAAAAGACTGGTCCATTTGGAAAGACTGAATCCTGAATTAAGCCTCTTCTCCCCCTAGGCTGGGATTGGAGGCGGAAAGTTCAGTAGAGACCAGAGAGAGCCTCCCTGAGAGGATGGCCACTCTAAACTCTGACTCACCGTATTGATGGTTGGGGAGGGCAGTGGGTTGTGATATATGAGACCCTGTGGGAGAGGACGAGGTTGTCCAAGTTGGTCTCTGGGCTTAAGGGGAGGCTGGGTTGGTTCTAAGTCTCACTGTCAAACCTCGACTTTGCCCTAACCCAAAGTGGGAGCACTGGGCAGAGGGCCAGGTCCCAGAGCAGGTGAGCACAGACACAGCCTAGGGAGGGGAGTGGGGAAGAGGGTGGCGCGGGGTGGGTGGGGAGTCTAGGGATCCCGCCAGCAGAGGGCACCATGCCTTCCACAACGAGAGCTGGCTTGGGTGGGGACCAGCAGGGAGTATCATCTCTATGGCTAGAAGAGAGTGGGGAAGAGCCGGAGAGCAGGTGCCAGGGCAGTGCCAAGGGATCTGAGCACCTGCTGCCACCCACTGCATAGGCACCAGGGGCAGCATGTGGTCCAGGAATAATGACGCCTTCCTCAAGGAATGAGTGCATTTACAAGGCAGGTTGGCGCCAACGTTGCAGCTCTGCACCCTGCCTGGTTGCAGGCTGGCTGCACCTGACCTGCCAATTAACCCTGGCAGGGGTATCACAGCCACCTAATCACCATAATTAAGTAAGGGGGTGTGAGGACTCCATGGCTGCCAGAGCTCTGAGGGTGAGAAGGGCAAAGGTGCTAACCTCTTGGCCCCTGGACTCCTGGGGCTCAGTTCCACCCCAGAGGAGGCGGTAGGCCTGAGGGAGAGAGAGGCGTCCCCGCCCCTGGGGGACAGAGGGAAGCCAGATGTTTCCTCCTGCTCCCTCACACGTGGCCCTGACACCCGCTGGCGCCCACAGCCAGCTCCGGAAATAGGAGTAAATAATGCAGGGGATGGGGCTGCGGGGAGTGTGGAGGACAGTGGGAGGGCACTGGCTCTGTGGGTTCCTGGGGGCAGAAGTGATGCCTCCAGAGAAAAGGGAGGGCAGTGGGAATGTGAGACCAAGGGCAAGGAGGCTGAGTCCCTGAGGACTGGCACTTAGGCGGGTCAGGGCGTGTGGGGGGGCGGGGGGGGCGCCCAGGGCAGGCAGGGAGGGGGAGTCTGCGCCAGGCCTTGGCTCCAGCCCTTTCCGGCCCTTATTGTCCTTGGTGAGAACAGGACGCTGTCCCGTTCCCACTGCCGGGCTCCCCCAGCTCTGCTCCCCAGGGGCTCGGGAAGGATGTTGGGAAACAAGAGAGAGCCAGAGACCCGTAGAGACAGAGATGCTGAGAGACACAGAGACAGATACAAAGGCGAAAGGTTCAGTCAAAAGCGGTCATTGAAGCTTATTGTGAGCCCAGTGGGGCCTGAGCGCTGTGGGAACCTGGAAAGAATGGGAAGCCTGGAGGCCCTGCCCTCGGGGACCTCCGGGCTGGCCTGCCCTGTGTGCACTCCTCCTTGACTTAGGCTTACTAGGATCTGCCTCCCAAGCAAACAATGGTGGGACTCTCACACAGGCACAGTTGGGGCGCTTAATAGCTCTGCTTTAGGTACCTTTCTTTGCTTTTCTCCCAGCAGACTGGAGGTTCCTCAGGGGGTAGTGCCGGGATCAGGATCAGGTTCCCAACTCCACCCCCGCACCTCCCATCCCCAGGGCTGAAAGCCAGCTGGCCATACAGAGGTTGCTGTGTAAATGCTATTTGGTTGAGTTCCTGCAGAGGTAGAGAGAGAAGCCCCCCCAGTTGGCCCTATGGTTAGGCATCCCATCACCTCGGGTGAAGGGTCAGGTGGAGGAGGCCTGACCACTGGCAAAAGGCAGAGTTCAGAGCTTTTGGCAGGGTTTGAAGAGCCAGCTATTCCCACCCCAGCCTCTGCAGGGGGCCAGGGGCAGGGTGGGAAATGACCCACAGATCTCAGCAACTGCTCTCTTGGAGACAGGACTTCTGAAAGATGGAGAGAAGTCTAGGTCCCTACTGTCTGTGGAGGTTTCAGATACACTTGGAAATGAAAAACAGGCACGTTTACATTTGATAAATTAACTTTTTCTTTTTTTTTTTCCAGACCGTCTTTCCCAGGCTGGTCTCGAACTCCTGGCCCCAAGAAATCCTCCTGTCTAGGCCCCGCAAAGTGCTGGGATTATAGGTGGGTGCCACTGCACCCAGCCAGATTAACACTTTTTTCACACAAAATTGCAATACAATTATGCTATCCACGAGACCCCTTTTTTATTTTTTGAGACAGAGTTTTGCTTTTGTTGCCCAGGCTGGAGTGCAATGGTGCGATCTCGGCTCACCGCAACCTCCATTCACCTCCTGGGTTCAAGTGATTCTCCTGCCTCAGTCTCCTGAGTAACTGGGATTATAGGCATGCACCACCACACCCAGCTAATTTTGTTGTATTTTTAGGAGAGACGGGGTTTCACCATGTTGACCAGGCTGGTCTCAAACTCCTGACCTCAGGTGATCAGCCCGTCTTGGCCTGCCAAAGTGCTGGGGATTACAGGCGTGAGCCACCGCACCTGGCTATCCAGAAGATCATTACAGAATTTATAGAACATTTTCCTTTACAGGGAACTGCAGGTCCTATTTTATAATTTAAAGTCTTGTGACAGGAACTTAAACAAATTTACAAGAAAAAAAAACCCCATTAAAAAATGGGCAAAGGGGCTGGGCTTGGGGTCTCACGCTTGCAATCCCAGCACTTTGGGAGGCTGAGGCGGGTGGATCATGAGGTCAGGAGTTTGAGACCAACCTGACCAACATGGTGAAACCCTGTCTCTACTGAAAATACAGAAATTAGCCAGGCATGGTGGTGAGTGCCTATAATTCCAGCTACTCAGGAGGCCGAGGCAGGAGAATTGCTTGAACGTGGGAGGTGGAGGTAGCAGTGAGCTGAGATTGCGCCACTGCACTCCAGCCTGGGCGACAGAGCCAGACTCTGTCTCAAAAAAAAAAAAAAAGAAAGCCTCCAAAAGTAGGCAAAGGACATAAACAGACACTTCTCAAAAGAAAACATACATGTGACCAAAAAACATATGAAAGAAAGCTCAACATCACTGATCATTAGAAAATACAAATCAAAACCACAGGGACACCATCTCATGCCACTCACAATGGCTATTAAAAAGTCAAAAAACATCCGGGCATGATGGCTCACGCCTGTAATCCCAGCACTTTGGGAGGCTGAGGCAGGTGGATGTCTTGAGGTCAGGAGTTCCAGACCAGCTTGACAACATGGTGAAACCCTGTCTCTACTAAAAATTAAAAAATTAGCCAGGCATGGTGTTGTGTGCCTGTAATCCCAGCTATTCGGGAGGCTGAAGCAGGAGAATCGCTTGAACTCGGGAGGCAGAGGTTGTAGTGAGCTAAGATCCTGCCACTGCACTCCAGCCTAGGTGACAGAGTGAGACTCTGTCTTTAAAAAAAAA